AACTAAGAAACTTTCATGCTTTTTATAGTTAAGCAGAAATAATGAGTTACTGATAAAAAATCATCAGTTTTAACCCATTGGTTCCAATTTATTCCCTGAAGCGAACATGATATTTTATGAATGTAACTGAGGATGTGGTAAAGGTTGTGGACGTGGTCGCGATTGTGAGAGTCAACACAGTCACTATATCCCTTATAATCACCACAATTTTGACATTAGCATGAAAGCAGACTAAACATCAATATGTAGATATAGCTGAAAAACTAAATAAGAAAAAAGAAAGATCATCATTTGTCATAGGTGTGGCAATGAAGGTCATTGGGGCAATACCTGCAGAGCAACCAAATACTCAGTTGATCTTTATCAAACATCACTGCAAAAAAAAAAAAAAAAAAGATAAAAGATAAAGAGGTAAAAACTAATCACGTCGATAATAATGACAACCTCTATCAAGATCTTCTGAATCATGACACAATGCATTTTAATATAGTGGATTTTATCGGAGATCCAACAAACCCCTAGTGACACACGATTTTTTTATTTTACATATGCTATTTTATGTTCTATAATATTAAATTATCACGTATATCTTTTGTATTGTATTTTGTACTCCCCCCGTTCAAGCCAATTTGTCCACTTTAGATGCAGCACATAATTTTAGATATTATGTTATTAGTAAGTAATTAAGAAGTGTATTAGTAAAAATAATTATGATCTAATAAAAATAATTATAGATAAGATTAGGATGACTAAATAGTTTTATTAAAATAAAAAATTATAAGTTATGAATTTTAAAATGTGATTACAGTATATATTCATATTTCCAAAAAAATAAAAGACAAATTATATGAGATGGAGCGAAATAGAAATAGTGTACAAATTATGTGGGACGGAGGGAGTAATAGATATATATATATATGTTTGCTTTTATTAATACTTTATTATATTTGAAAGCAAAATGAATGCCAACCAAAGTGATGTTAATATGTGTTTTATTGAAAGTGCTACGATATATGCTATATTTAATTATGAAAAATAATTTTCTCATTTGAAAAGGGAAAAGATGAATATAATATAATAAGCGGCAATGCAAAATTAATTAAAGGTTCTGAAAAAGCCATTATATTTCTTTCCGCGGGAAAAAATTATTACAACATGCATTGTTGGCCAGTAAAGCTCCAAAAAATTTACTGAGCTTTATGACATTCAACAAATAGTTATCACATTGAAATTATAAGTGTATCCAATGGTGATTTTTTATTGATAACCAATATTGTTGACGAAAAGAAATACATCATCAAGACATTACCTTCACCTTCTATTAGTTTATATTATGTCAAATTAGGTGTTGTTAAAATACACCTCATAGTAAACCAAAAGACTACCAATTTTCAAGTATAGCATGATCGCCTTAAGCATCCTAACTGTATAATGATAAGGTGAATAATTGAGAATTCGCATGACCATTCATTAAAAGGTCAGAAAGTGTTAAATTCAAATGAGTTAACTTATGTTGTCTGGACTCAAGAAAAATTGATAATCAGACCATAATAGCTAAAGTAAGTATTGAATCACCTATATTTTTAGAAATAATACACGAAGATATATGTGCACCAATAGACCCACCATATGGCTCATTCAAATATTTTATAGTACTTATTGATGCATTCACTATATAGTCGCATATTTGTTTATTATTTACTCACAATATGACACTTGCAAGATTGATTGCCTAAATTATTAAATTACGGGAAAAATTTCTCGATAATCAAATTAATACTATACCCATGAATAATGCCGATGAATATTTCCCGAATATATTTGATAATTATTGAATGTCGATTGAAATTAATGTAGAGCATCCAGTTGTTCATGTCCATACATAAAATGGCATTGCAGAATCACTTACTAAAATATTGTAATTGATTTCTATACCATTACTGATGATGTCTACGTTGCTCGCTTCAATTTGGGGATACGCAATCTTACATGTAGGTTAACTTATAAGAATAAAGTCCACAAACTATCATAGTTATTCCCTTATGGAATTAGTGTCTGGTCATAAACAAAATATTTCTCTCCTACATATATTTTTAGGTGTATTATTTATCTTTTTATTTCATCCATAAATGTACAAAAATGAGTCCTCAACGTAGATTGAGTATTTATATCGGCTTTGAATTGTTGTCAATTTTTAAAAAATCTTAAACATATGACGGGTGATTTGTTCACTACAAAATTTTCAAATTGTTATTTTGATGAATCATATTTTTCGATATTATAGAGATAAAAATGAAGCGAAAAGAGATATTAAATTGAAAATTCCATTGAATTTTTTAGATCCTCGTACAAAACAATGTGAACTAGAAGTTCAACGCATTATACATTTTCAAAATATTGCAAATTAGTTACCAGATGTATTCAATGACTCAAGAAAAGTCACTTGATTTTACGTCCAAGTTGTTAATGCTTTGGCTAAAATAATTATCCCTGATGGATAAATTACAAGTACTAATAAATCAGGTACACGCTTAAAATATGGTAGAACACTCGGTTCCAAAGACAAATATTTTTGAAAAAAAAAATAAATGATGATAATCAAGAAAATATCAGGATTGGCATTGATAAACCCCATGAGAAAGTCATCCTTAAAATAATTTCTCCAACGATGCCGATCAGGTGCTGAATAAAAATATTCAGCACCTATGCTGACTGTTTAAAATTAATTACAATATATATATTAATAATATAAATTAATAATACATATTAAATGTTAATTTTCTTAAGGCATTCAGCATCAATGCTGAAATATTTTTATCAGCACATGATCCTTGGCCTTTCTCCAAAAGAGTAAAATCTTGAAGAACATGATGTGATTATAGAAAACTCAATCAACTATGTTATTTTAAGAAAATGATGTAACCATAAAGAGACAATAATTGATAATATCTTTGCATACAATCTAGAACTGAATATAATAGAATAAAATTAGAATCTAGAGCCAAAATTGATTCATGAATATTAGCAAATAAACGACTGACCAAAATAGAAAAATACAATTCAATCAGTGCTTGAATCATTAGACAAAAAAGATGTCTTTGGACCAATTGCTCAAACACCAAATGATATAAAATTAGTGGGATATAAATGAGTATTTTTATGCAAAAGAAATGAAGTAAATAAAATTGTGAAATATAAAGCTCGTCATGTATCTCAGAGATTCTCACAAAAACCTTGAGTAGATTTTGATGAAACATAATGTCTAGTTGTCGATGAAATAATATTTAGATATCTTGTGAGCCTAGCAGTGCAAGAAAAGCTCGACACGTATTTTTTAGACATAGTTACTGCATATCTTAAATACCAATATTTATATGAAAGTTCCTGAGGGATATTCCTAAAGCATGCAAATCAAACCCACAAGAATTATATTCCATCAAATTGAACAAGTCATTGTATGAACTTAAGCAATAAGAAAGAATGTGGTATAACTGTCCCAATAGATGCTTAATGAAAGAAAGTTATACTAATGATCCAATGTATTTTTATACAAAAAAAAAAAAAACAAATCAAATTATGTCAATATTGCAATATATGTTGACATCTCAACTTAATTGGAACTCCTGAGAAGATCCAAATCGAAGATGAATATCTAAAAAAAGAATTTGATATCAAAAATTTTAGAAAACTAAAATATTATCTGGGATTACAAGTAAAATATATAAAAGTATTAAAATAATTTTGGATGGATAAATCTAATTATCTGAGTACACCAATGATGGTTAAATCTTTTGATCATAGTAAGATCTATTTAGGCTAAGAAAAAAACAATGAAGAAATATTTGACCCTGAAGTACGTTATCTTAGTGTTATTGATGTACTAATGTATCTTACAAATTACACTAGACAAGATGTATCTTTTTCAGTAAATTTACTAGCAAGGTTTAGCGCATCCCCCCACAAAGCACTATTGGAATAGTATTAAACATATTTGTTACTATCTTTAGGGGATATATGACCTCGGAATTTTTTATTCAAGTGAATTTCGAAATTAATTAATTGGTTATATTGATGATAGTTATCTGTCTGATCAACATAAAGCAAACTATCAAACTTGTTATTTGTGTACTTGTGATGAACAACATTTCTTGGTAATATGTTAAACAAACGATGTCGAGGTTTTAGCAATTCACGAAGCTAGTCGTGGATGCATTTGGTTGAGTTGATGACTCACTATATTCAGAAAAATATTGAATTTATTTTTGATAATATATTACCTCATATAATATTATTCTAAGATAATGCAACTTGTATCACTTAACTAAAGAGAGATATATTAAAGGAGATCAGACAAAACACATTTTTACATAATTCTCTTTTTTCTTCATTTGAATTTTTCCCACATTATTTTTTCATAGTAAGGTTTTAGTGAGACATATTTTTTGTATAAAAGCATCCAAAGGAGATTATTATGATACACTAACACCTACAAACATATTACATATTGCACACATCTACGAGATCTCAATGCTTCTACACCATTCAATCACCACTTTATGCTTAAATATACATGTATGGGTTAGGGGTGGGAAAATATAATGAAATACCGTATATATCATACCAAGAATAACAAATTTTTTGTATACCATAAATTTCGGTACGGTAACGGTACGTATTTTCAATTTTTTCGGTATATGCCGAACTATCAAAAAAATTTCGGTATATACCGAAATATAAGTTGTAGCCGCCGCCGCCGTCGGCCGCTGTTCCAGCCGCACCATTCATCACCTACCATACCGCCGCCATGACGTTCTCCATTCCCCTTTTTCCATAGCCATTCCAACCTGGTGATACTTTTTTCTTTTTAGCTTATTATGTGTTTTCTTAGCACAAAAGGCTTTTTCTACAGAGGGATTGTCAGTAGTAGCACAAAAGCCTTTGTTACTACTAGGATGCTACTACTGACAATCTGGCGTCACATTCAAATTGTTGTTTGTTACTTTTCGACTGGAGCCTGCACAACCTCTGGAGTCCCTGCCTCCACAAGCTCTGGAGCTTCCATGGCTTCTGGAACCTCTGCCTCCGCAGACTCCTTTTCAACTGGAGCCTCCACAGCCTTTGGAGTCTCTGCCTCCATAAGCTCTGGAGCTTCCATGGCTTCTGGAACCTCTGTATTCGTAGACTCCTTTTCAACTAGAGCCTCCACAGCCTTTGGAGTTTCCATGGCTTCTGGAACCTCTGTCTCCACAGACTCCTTTTCTATTGGAGCCTCCACAACCTCTGGAATCTCTGCCTCCACAAGCTCTGGAGCTTCCATGGCTTCTAGAACCTCTGCCTTTGCAGACTTCTTTTCAACTGGAGCCTCCACAGCCTCTGGAGTCTCTGTCTCTACAACCTCTGGAGCTTACATGGCTTATGGAACATCTGCCTCCGCAGACTCCTTTTGGAATGGAGTCTCCACTTCATTTGGAGTCTCTGCCTCCACAGCTTCTTTTTCGTTGGAGGTGAATTTTCCGCGCTCAAAGTGGCACTAGGCTTCTTTTTAAACCTTCTTTTTGAAAATGCTCTCCTTATGAAATCGGCGATGACATTAACGTCCATTAAGAGGCTTGGCCTCATGTTAATTTGGTGTCAGCGGCTGTCCTCCGGCTGCCTGCTGATGGAAGGTTGGCAGCTGCACCTCTGCGGCCTACCCTCCTTGCCCCTGTATTTCGATTATCCTCTTCCATTGGAGATTAGCCACGCTCGGATCGTGACATCCCTATGGTGGTGTTGGCGCATTCCATATAGGTTGTCCGCTTAATCGCCCTGGCGGGATCATGCCAAATGCTGCAAATTTGCTAGCCCCTCCTGGAGGCTCAGCACTGCTATTCAAATTTCCAATGGCCAAAGGGTTCTAGCCCTCCACAGCCTGTTGGCTCCAGCGCTTCGCAGACTGTTGTCAGCCTTCCACAGGCTATTGGCTCCAGCCATCCACATGCTGTTGGTTCCATCTTTTCGCAAACTGGTGGTTCCAGCCTTCCGCAGGCTGGTGGTTCCAGCCCTCTGCAGGATGTTTCCAGCCTTCCATCCGCAGGTTGTTGGAACCAGCCTTCCGCAAAGTGGTGGTACCAACCCTCCGCAGGATGTTGCTTGCAGCTTCCTGCAGGCTGTTAGTTCTAGCCTGATTTTGCATGCTCTGGCCCTAAGGCCTGAAGCATTGGATCTTCTGAAATAGTTCTATAGCTTTTTTCAGGCGGTACAAAGAAATTCCATGTCAACCTCGACATCACTCTTCGAAAAATGCGACTTTGGTCCCACCAGGCGTGGCCAATTGTTGGATCCTAAAATTCGGAGGTTCCAAGACCGTTTGTTGATTTGTCGGTGTGGGTTCCAGAAGTACTCCAAAGAGCCTGTCCGTCGTCGGATTTTGGGCGGTTCCTTCGGTGGAGCCTGCACGGCTTCGAGCCTAAATGATCAATTTCGATGGATTTAAACTAACATCTACTAAAACTCGGATAAATCTACTGGAAAGCGAATAAAAAAGCATGTAATTCGAATTAAAATGCATAAAATGAAACTAAAACATGAAAAGAAAATAGAGAAAAATACGAGTTCATCTTCTTGTGCGTGTGTGATGTGTTTTTTCCTAGTTTTAATCCTAAGATAGAATAACCACCTATTCCCACTAAAATGGGCAGTTCTAATTATTCCTCCACCTCTCTCAACCACCTGGTAACCTCTCACTACTACCTCCAACTGCCTGGTAACCTCTTTCCACTACCTTCAACTGCCTAGTAACCTCCTTCCATCAGTTCCCTATTAACTTCCTTCCATCAGCTCCTAACAACCTGGTAACCTCCTTCCATCAGTTCTCAACCGCTTCTATTGCCTCTGGACCGGGTTCCACTTGCTCTGAACTTCTTCCATTGCCTCTGGACCAGATATGCCGCTTACTCCGACTTGTTTCCATCGTACTCCTAGCCGGTCCACAGGAATGTGTCCCCAACATCCTCAAGTTAAATGGAATCTTCGGTTTTCCTCATGTTGACTTGTTCCATTGAGCTTTTTGAATAAAGTTAGAAAGTGCATAAGCCTTCCACTAATTTTCAGTACGAAATTATTAACCCAGGGCCAACGGAGGTAGTTATCCCATGATCTGTGGAAGCTGTTGCTTTTTATCTTGTGGAGGCAACCTTCCTCTGCTTTATGGAAGCACCGCAGTTCGACGAAGGTAGTTGTTTTCAACCGAATGGAGGCAGCAATTTCTAACCTTATGGAAACATTGTTCCGGGATGGAGGCGCCATAGTCCAAGGAGTTGTGGTCCTAAGGTCCATTGAGGCTACTGCTTTCGGCCCTGTGGAAGCACCACAATTCACTGGAAGTTGTTGCCTTCTGCTCTATGGAGGCAGCACTCTTTGGCTCTGAGGCTTGAAGCTTCTTGCTGTTGAGCGGCTCCGTGGCCAATGAGCTCTGCCTTCACTTTTGTCTTTAAGTCTCCTTCTCATTCAGGTGTTTTTGGACCCATGTCCAACATGTACAGATAGTTTGGCATACTGAATAATCGGTACGGTAGGGTATAATATATAAGTCATATTGAATTTTTGATATACCGAAAAATTGATATACTGATTTCTCAGTTTGGTAATGGTATTGTAAATTACTATACCAAAAATTTCAATACGGTATATGATATACGGCATAAGTTCTGATATATTGTACCGAACCAGCCCTAGTATGGGTGAATAAAAAGGTAATATACACATTGAAAGGAAAACAAGTCAATCCAACTATTTATTTTACATTACTCTCCACAATCTTTCTCTCTCTAAATATTAACACACATCACGTGTGCTTGAGTTAGTGGCAAATTTATGTTGGGTGTGTGCGTGTGGTGTGAGTAAAATGAAATATATATTTACAATATTTATATATACATCTACATTATTGACATTTTTCATTTATTCTTATTTCATTGAAACCATCTCTTAGGATGTTATTTTTTTGTGATCAATTTCAAGTCCTTTTTGGATAGATTCATTCAAATGACTGTGCATATATTTATATTATTTAGTTCAAAATTTTATTTTATCAAACAGAATAATTAATTTTCTGTTCAATTCTTTTTGCTATCATTTCTTTAATATTTTATTGTTTATATGGAAGTCACCATATGGTCGGATTGGAACACATTTGGATTGGAATTGGGACTGGCTTGGAATGATGGCGCGGATGGATCGTATTTGTTTATAAAGGGATGAGATCGTTAGCTCCTTTCTGCCCAACCCTCTAGCCCCCTCTTATACACATGTATATGTAGGAACACGCCTGTGAGGGCTGTTCATTCCCACGGATCGTTGTTGGATGCCAACGCGTACATACATGGTATTAAACGATCCTAAGCATGCTCCTATAAGAATGAACTAGAGATGTACCCTTTTTGGAACCACCAACAGCAATCACGAACAGGTTGATTCCGCTAGAGACCTTCCAGACTGTTCCCGAACCCCGCTCGAACACCGGATGGGCGGCGATCTATCAAACGGAGGGAGACGAATTTTGCTCTTCGTGAAACCCTAGAGCCGACGGCTTGCACCTGTAACGTCACTAGGGTTTGACAAAGACCGCATATTAATAAGTCTCCCAACAGGTAATTGGGCCAGACCGGGGATCTTTAGAAGGTGTTGGGCTCGGGCTCCCTTATAGATCCAAATCTCTATATTCAGCCCTGAATATAATTCGAATCATAAAATATTAATTCATTCCATTAAAGAATTAATATTGCACTCCCAGCCCAACCCAAATTGAATCTGGGCTTCTATTAAACTTAATTAATTCCCCATGTTTAAGATGTTCCACATCCATTAATTAATTAAATCTTCTGACAATTTAATTAATTAATATCTTTTAATTCCTTGAGTGATACCACTCAAAACTTATTATTGTACGGATTAAATCCACCTGCAGGGTTTATACAATAATCCTTATTGAGTTCCTTAAGGGGATGTCATCAACCTGGATGTCCAGGACATGGTGCCTTAATGATAATAAATTAATTACTATGCGAATAATGTAGTTGCCCAAAATACGAAGCATATTGAATCACTAAGGATTCTCACTTATGGTAAATTAAAGCAACGAACATTTATTCCATATATTTAATTTATTTCATCTAAGGTTAAGAATTAACAGAGTTACCGAGATTTTGGTTCTTCAATGTCAGAATAGAAGAACATATCTCAACTGTGATCCTTTCAATGTGACGCAGCACATTAGTGTAAACTAATAGTCAAGACAAACTAATTCCAAGTTTACACTACAACTTAAACCGATGGTTTTGTCCATAACCATCTCAGTTGTGAAACCCATTTATATTTAATAAAGAACTGACAACAAGATCTTCTGTGTGATCTCCACACACCATGTTGTCTACAATATTAAATAAGTGGACATGCTAATATATATAAAACATAAATAAAAGCAACACAATGTGAAATAACAATTTATTTTATTTATTCCAGTTACTAAGGAAATTGAATAATACAAAAGCGTACTAAAAGTTTGCTTTACAGTATAATCCAACAATCTCCCACTTATACTAAAGCTAAACTTTTAGTATACAATGCAAAAACAAGCTCTCCCACTTATACTAAAGTCTAGCTGCAATGTATCGTAAACCAAGGCCCTCTACGTGTTTCTCGAAAACCTTAATGGGTAAAGTCTTCGTGAAGGGATCTGCCAAGTTGTCCAACGATGCAATCTTAGTGACAGCTATGTCTCCTCGCTTTACGATGTCTCGTATGATGTGGTACTTCCTTTCTATGTGTTTACTTGCTTTATGAGCTCTAGGTTCTTTTGAGTTTGCCACTGCACCAGCGTTATCACAATAAATGATTACACGCTCAGGCATACTCTCAGACACCCCTAAGTCATACAAGAAGCTCCTGAGCCATACAGCCTCTTTTGCTGCTTCAGAAGCAGCAACATACTCGGCTTCCATGGTAGAATCTGCGATGCATTTCTGCTTTACGCTTCTCCATGAAATAGCTCCGCCTCCCAAGGTAAACGCATAACCCGAGGTTGACTTTCTCTCATCTCGATCGCCTTGAAAATCTGAATCAGTGTAACCCAAAGGAACTAGATTGTCAGACTGGTAAACCAAACTATAATCTCGAGTTCTTTTCAGATACTTGAGAATATGTTTTACCGCAATCCAGTGTCCTTGACCAGGTTTGGACTGATACCTAGCTACCATGCCAACAGCATAGCAGATATCAGGCCTCGTGCACAGCATGGCATACATGAGACTTCCTACAGCCGAAGCATAAGGAATGTTA